TTTAGTTCGAGTGTTGTTTACAACGATTTTCAATGAAATCAAATGAAGTTTGCATACATTTCATTTAATAACTAGCGGACCATAAATGATACTGGTATATAATGAAATGAATACGAATTGATAGAAAAAGTCATAAAAATTGGTCTAGCTGTTCTTGAGTTCTTTCATTGATATCATTTTTTCATGTCAACCAACCTTTTGAACCTTCCCTAGACTTCCACCAATTATTCAAAACTAAAATTAGCCAAATCGGACCAGCCGTTTTCAAGTTTAAGCGAGACTAACAGCAATTAATTATTATTATTATCCTATTACTTATGAGACTAAATGGCTACACCAAAGACTCTTCCACACGGAGAGCTTCACGTCTCTCGCTCCAATGTGGGAACGTTTATCACTCCTACCTCCGCCCATTCACACGGGGAACCTTTTTAGTTATTGGCTACTTGAGGTCAGTCGTTGAATGGATCTTACGTGAGCTGTTGCCATATACCTTCTCTACCTTCGACACAATCTCGACGACAGAAACGTCATCGATCAAGAATAGGATGGATAAAGTTGCGAAATCTACATTGAGCACCTTGCAGACTTCCACCTAACTTTTTACGACTTCATTTTGGTCCTTTTAAATGTCGAGACTTTCATCCTAAAGAACGGGTCGATCGCAGACAGACTAATTAAGCTCCCACTCATCCTTTTNCAATTTGCAATTATAATCATAAAAATTGGTCCATTCGTTATCGAGTTTTCTAGAGTCTGTACTCCAGCTTCTATTTTTTCCCACCAATGCTCTTCGTTTGAGAAAGTTCTCATCCCAATTTTTGTGTTATAATATCTGTCTTACTTTTTTCCATCTTTTTCTCACTGCCCCACATGCCTTTTGGAAAGAAGGCATTATATTATAATTAATAAAAATATTTGCTGTTCGTGGGTCTCGCTAAAACTCGAGAGCAGCTGCACCGATTTCGATAATTTTGGATTTGAATTATTTGTGGAAGTCCGGAAAAGGTTCAAAAGGTCAGTAAATATGAAGAAAGGAAAAATAAAGAATGATAATGATAAAAAATAACTCGATAACGACTAGACCAATTTTTATGATTTTTTCTTCATCGGGAATAGAATAAAAAATATTGAAATATCATAATTTATCAATAAAAATAATGAAACCAATAATAATGCAATGATTCATAAATTCCTACAGCTCGATAAGTGAATTCCATAATCTTATACTTCCGTCATCCTGTTTTTAGGGTTGTTCAATATTTGAAGTATGCAAGTAATTGTTGAAGTCATCTTCAATTCGAATTGTGCATGAAAGATTTGAATACTTTAAGTAATTCTCTCTGTATTCCTAATTAACTTATCATTGGAATCTGAAGCAGACTCGTTACTTTCAGCTGTTTCCTTGAAATTGTGTTGTTTAAACTGAGCGGACTATAATAATACTTACAAGGACCATTCGGATCCATTTTTTCTTCGATACTTTCCTGTGCAGTTCATCCTACCGCTGCCTCTTGGTCAACTCGCGAATTTGATCGTTTGGTTCCGCACTATTAATTAGTCACACACATGCGCCTTGTTACGAGAATTAACAATGTATACACCAGTTTATCCTACCGCTGTCTCTTGCAAATTTGATCTTTTGGTTCCGCACTATTAGTCACAGAATCTGCGACTCGATATGAGAATTGACAATGTTTACAACATAGATGTCTACGATTGATGAGTTGGAATATTCTGATACCTTCACCTTTATCTGATTTTGTAGTGGGTCTGCAAATTTTAAGGTAAGTATAAATGTTTTACATTTTCAGCCTTTCCTTACGAAATATTATTTTTTATTATCATTCAGTATTCATGCATTTCCTAAACACCCAGTAATTAGTGAAATAGACATTTGTTCTGATTATTTCAAGTTCATTTCTACGGGGCAATCGTTAGTTCATATTTCCATATCAGTAAGCATATCCCCTTATGAAGATGTTATCTATGAGATTGATAGGAACAATCTACGATCATCAAAGATGAACTCACCTCACCCTAGGCACTTACTTGCAAAGTCAAACTTTGACTATTGATGTATTCAAGCCTGAGCTGAGTTTTGAGATTTTTTGAACCATGGACGAATTATGGATCCATTTCCACCCTTCAAAGGTGGATTAATGAAAAAAAAAACAGATAAATGTGTCTTCGGAACGAATATGCAAAAACATCAGCTATAAAGTAACGATCAACACTGAACTATACAATGACAATTTAATTTTTTAACCCGTTTTTTGTGTGTCCTAAAGAATCTTACATTTTAGAGCTACGCAGTTTACAATTTTCAGTATTGATATGTTCCTCTTACGAATATATTCGCCTCAAATAACGTATAAAAAATTTCGGGTTTTTAATTTAGGAAATAGCAGAAATAGTCTGCCATGCGAAGGTTTAGTCCACTTCTTGTCAGAAAACTTGCAATAAAAGTGTTGTCTCATATCTAGCAACCTAAAAAGTAGAATTTGGAAAATAGTCCATTATGGGATTTCAAACCAGGCTTAAGTCTAAGTTCGACTTGCCTTGGCTCGGCTTGAGTACACCCCTTACTTTGGCCGTCGAATGAGATTCTTTCAGCATGTTTCACTGCAATACAACTAGTCAAAACTAGAACCTTTGGACGCAGCGGTCTTGCACGAAGCGATGCTGCCACCCGTTTTTTTTTTCGAAGGTTTTTTTAACATAAAAACAATTACATTTTTATCAAGTCGCCTCTTGCTCGGGAGACCTTTTGAATTTTTTTTCACATATACAGCCCCTTTTACGTGGTTATCCGAACCACCCCGGCCTGGATACCGGCGTGAATAAACGGGGTTCCTAATTCTTTTTTGAAAATATTCTCGCACATTTTAATTATCAACACAATGAACTAACACACAACACAAAACGGAGCTCCACGGTAGCACATGGCATCCGCGTACCTTCTTTGTGAGCGGACGTTATCAGCACATCCGTCCACTGCCACGGCCACCACGAAACTCCCATATTTGACGATATTTCATGAATTTTGTTTGGGAAGATATGGGTTTTCATCCACATGAAATAAAAAAATGCAATATCAAATATGGAAGGTCAAAGAATGTTCCCGTAGCGTCATCCAAAGGGAATATAATTTTATTCGCAATTGATATAGAGGTAATTTCTTCGGGTGATTCCACTATTGCTCTCTCGGAAAATATAAAAAAAGGTCAGTTGAAGTAGACTAATTTTTTTTTATTTTGGGGAACTAGAATTGTCTCTTCTCAGATCGAGAATATCAGTGGTTGTTTTTGAAATATTCGCCAAAAATTTGAATTGTCAAATTTTGTTTTTGACTCTATCGCTTCCATTTCGAATGACATAAAAAAGGCAGAGGAAGTTTCAATACTGTTTCAAATTCGATACAATCTGATATAAATCAATGTGCAATGCGACGTTTTGTTTATTAGAATTCATCATCAAGTTTTTTTTTTAATTCGTATTTGGAGAAATAAGTCGAATTGCAAATTGTGTTAAAGGTGATAGATTATAATGAAATTGAAACAGTTTTAGAAATTCTTTTGTTGTTTTAAAATTCTCGTCTGTTTCTATGAGTACTTCAAAGTATAACATCTCAATGAATACGTATTCAATTTATTCGAAAAAAGCGCCATTTGAATCAGTGCACTTTTGCCAACATAACATAAGTCAATATATTCCACCGGCATAAAAATTATGTGCTCGGCATTGGATGAAGTCGACGAAGACCGTTTTTGCCAGGCCCTGATTAGCGAAGGTTCTACCGATGAGAAAGTCATCCGAGTACTTGAGAAAATGGTAGTCGGTTGGCGAATGGTACATAATGGAACTTCGAGTTTGATTTCCAGACGGTGATTTGTGATATGTGCAGACGGGCGTTGTCGTGGACCTTTTCTCTTGACCAGTGGTAGCTGCTGTAATTCACGGTACATTTCGTCGATTTTCTCACGATAGGTCACTGCTATGAGAGTTTAGCCTGGTTGCAGAAAGTTATAGTGAATCACACCAGCCGCTGACCACCATTCAGTAACCATGGTATTTTTTTAGTGTGTTTTTGCCTTTGGACGTCTCCTGTTGACATAGTGGATCCACTTTAAGTGACGATCTGATCCAAACAAGATAGTTTTAGTTGCGCAAGAGCAAAAAACAGACCTTGGAACGTGACAATTTCTATCGATCATACAAATCGTGAGGTACCCACTTTTCGAGCTTTTTGACCTATCCAATACGTTTTGAATCAATAAAAACTGTATGGGACCTGACTTCCAGATATTTCGTCATCTTACGCATCATTTATGATGGGTCAGTCTCCACCAGGGTCCCCAAATCCTCGTCCTGGTTTACTGTAGGTTGACCTCTTCAGGGCTCATCTTCGAGGCTAAAATCTCTGGAAAGAAATTTTGCAAACCAACGTCAAACAATACGTTCAAAGGTCAGGTTCATTTTTTGGACTACTTCGGCAGCGCTTTGTTTCAATTTGAATTCGTAGAGAAAAATTTACCAAAAGTCGCTTAACAACATCATATATTATTGAGCTGGGGCAAAAAATGAAATTTGGTATATACTACAAAATTCCCTATCGATCAGCATATACCACGACACAGTAGAATAAATATGTATTGAGATATGGCCTTCAAAAACACATGACATAAAAACAAACCTAACTTTTGAAACTATCCAATTCTATCAGAGTGGCAATATTTCACCATTTTCAATAGGTAGCTTAGTTTGTGGGCAAAGTGTATCTGTAGACGAATTTACCAAAAAAAAACAATTTGCAATTATTATTTTTTTTCATTATGAAAACGTTTCTAAATGAGTCAATACCAATGGAATACTTATATTGACAAGAGTACAAGATTGAATAAAAACTAATTTATTTGAAATGAATTAAATCAATTCAGTAAATAAAAAATGATATGACGTTGTAGATATCGAGGTTGGCATGTATTGGAAATAAAAATAATCGTCGACCTTACTGACATAGAGAGATTTGGTGAAAACAAAATGTGTTGTGCATTCACTACTGCATTTTGTGAACAAAGAAATGGATTTGCCGAGTGACTTGTCAAAGGATAGAGTATATTCTTGGGTTCTTCAAGTTTTGAAAAAGGAGAATGTAACAAATTACCAAATCAATCTTGATGGATCTAGTGCAAAAGCCGAAGGTTTCATTGGAGATATTATATTCGCAGATGTTTCTGGAAGTGATAGTAACGGACAGAAGAAGGTTTTGAACCTCGTGATAAAAATAGGAAAAATCAACGTAAATCTGCGAGACAAGTTTCCCATGAAAAACTTTTCTTTGAGGGAAATATTCGTGTACGAACAGATTCTACCAGTATTCATGGAATTTCAGAAGGAGAAGAATATTTTGAACCCATTTGAAAGTTTTCCAAGGTGCTATCATACGATGGTGTTCCCAGATACAGAAGTGATCATATTGGAAAATTGCAAACCCCTTGGATACGAAGTAAATAATTCAAAATCCTTGAATTTGGAGCAAATCAAATTGGTTTTGAAGAGTTTTGCTCAGTTTCATGCTTTGTCTTTCGCCCTGCGTGACCAAAGGAAAACAGTATTCGAAGCATTGACTTTCAAATTTCCTTCAATATTTGGAATGATTCTGCATGATATCAGTTTCAAAAGTTTCTACAGACGTAGTATTGATGAAGCTATTATATTGCTAGTGAATTCAGATGAGATTGAACTGGCCCACAAACTGCAAAAAATAATGGAGGACGATCCAGTAGCTCTCATGGAAGATATATTGCAAGAAGATTGTAACGAAGAATCAGTTATATTACATGGAGATAACTGGATAAATAATTTTATGTTCATTCAAGAGGTATGTATAATATATCTGAATAATCAATTCTAATAATGATGATTCCAAAGTAAAAAAAAAAATAATTGAATATAACATGATATGATAACATATATTTTAGAAACACAGGCTTTCACAGCCGAAGTTCCGATTGGAGGACACAAAATCGGGCCGGTAGGACGTTTCCAAGTGGAATTTGAAGTACTAAACGTTTCGTTTGCTACTGCGGTATACATTATGAGTGGTATATGCATTGAAAGCGAAGACAGAGGTTATTCTTCGAAGTCTTAGTAACGATTAACTGGCGAGCTACGTGTTCCCTCGTATTTATAATTCAAGAGGATTGTAACGGTGTAGTAGAGAGAGCGGTGAGGATGATTGTGGGGATCATGAGTGGGCACGGTGACTCTGATTGATCCAAACCTTTGCTGGGTCGTTCTGATCGGTTCGCACTGTTACAATGTTGGTCCACGTTGTTGACAGCTACTGTATAACACGTTATTTTCACCCATATACCTTTTCTGTTATAATTGTTGGTATGCTTATAGATCTCAATGTCCTCCCTATGAAATCGTGCGTAGTAATGCGTTGAATTAGATAGAATAGTCGTTTCTTCTTAAAATAATTCATGTATTCCTACTAGGACATGTTCTGGAATTACGAGTTTCTTCGGTTGTATTTGACGGGAGCTACGCTTGTATCTTGGTATTTGTGTTGCATTTGATAGTTTCAATATAAACTGGGCGACAGAAACAGATAATCCTGTTAACACCGGTACTTTAGGTTTCAATTGACCATGGTTTGTCACCTTGCATTTCATTCCCTTCCAATCATATAGGTGTTTCTCAATAAAGAGCTGATTATAGACCCCATTTTCAGACAGAAAGTATATGAGAATCTGTCTTATCATCTCAACGTTTTATGATTTTGGGAACAACGCCACTAAGGAGTATAAAAATTATGTTATGCAGCAAATAACTGCTGTTTTTTGAAAATGTCTACATCGTTCTACAAAAATATCTAGGCTCATAACCGAAGTTATTATAGAAAACAAGCTTTTTTTTCAAACTCGGTACCCTGCAGGAGAGAGCAGTGTAATATCCCTGTCGGGTAAGGTGTCAACCCTGATGGCAAAATTGAATTACGCCTCATCCTAAGATATTTGTATCCATGCCAAAAGAATATGGAACTGTAAGCTCACTAATGGAACTTTCAAGATAATGGAAGCTCTCTCGCCTTAGAAAGCTTCGTCATGGTATTATATGGCTCCGCTGTGATAAATTTCCTTCCTTTCTACTAATGGATCTTTTTATGAAACATGAAATAACCAAATATTTCGAGTATGTATCTAAAGAGCAGATGGACGTCGACTCAGCGACCCATGAATAAAAGAAGTAACTTCTCAGTTCTACAATTCTTGATCCTATTTGCAAAAAGAGGGATCGTGGCACTGCAGCCAAGAAGCGACGCATCACCTCCACGAGACCAGGATATCTTTTGAGTCTACCTGGCACTGAATTATTAAGCAGCGGAAGTAGTAACTACATCGGGAAAGAAAATAAACTCCCTTGCGCAAATCAGAAATCGATTATGATTCAATTGTAATTTTCTCAAACCAGAGTTGAAAAAGTCCGACATATCTGAATCTTATAAATCATCATCAGGTATATGCCCTCATATAGGAAGATTGCTGCTGTCATCAAAGTGGGAATCTTAAATCTTGAATATCAGACAATTTTGATATCGACTGAACAACTAGAATCTCTTGGTATGTTATTATGGCTACCGTAGAAGAGGTCCGGCTATAGATTTCCTGGGAGGATCAGAAAAGCGTCTTGTAGCTGGTGCGTGCAGTTAGTACCTTACAGTCCTTGGTGTGCATCAACCTGCAATGCATCACAGGAGACAAATCCACCGAGCAATACATTTGTGTTGCTCACCGAAGAAGATTTTCAGTGTTTGGAAGAATCCCTTCCTTTCCAGTTGACCTGAAAAATCATTCATCAAATGAAATAATCAGCTTCGTTGAGAAACTGGATTTATTGGTCGAGTTTGAATAGATTTGAGCAGAAAGGTCTATTAATTCTTCACTATCCGTCAAATCTTCACATATAACCGTCGAGAGTTTTTTCTCAATATTCAAAGAACTTGCCGTTCTCTGTCTATGTTGTGCTGTGTGTCTTTTGATGAATTATACACTTGTAAGATTTCATATGAATTGTTGTTATTTCGAACTGAACTATGCATAATCTCTTAACTAGTCCGTTGATTCATATAATAGTCTTGAACTTGTTAATATTCTTTTAACTGTTTTTTTTATTTTGACTGGGTTGATTACTCATCTATTCCAGGATGAGATTCTGGAACGAAAATACTTGCAAACGCCGTGGATATGTTGAATTTTACTGAAATGTCTCCATCCCACAACCTCATATCCACGAATCTCACAACCACAACCTCTTATCCTTCTATTTTATGAGATCGAGAAAGTTTGAAATTGTTTTGTTGGCCATTTGGCAGACTATGTAACACATTTTGGGAGACTGTTCATGATTACAGACCTCTAGATTCCTGCCTGAATGACAGATAGAGCTGTTGCGATCTATCATGGTCCTCTGTTACGTTGTTGGACTCAAATGTCTTTGAGAAACAATGTTAATCTATTGAACTATTGAAACCACTTTCATGACACCAGGACAAAAATAACTTTCTCTCTGAGAGATTGTAATTTGTTCGGGTGTTGAGAAATTGTTTCCAATAGATTCATTTTACGCCAGAAGTTCCAGTACGAACTATCAAAAAAAAACAATGTTAAGTGGAAGTCAGCATGAATCTTCTCTTTCAAAGACACCATTCGTGTTTTGACTTCATCGTATTGCCTTCCGAAGGAAGCTGCAGAGAAAGAACATCATTCGGTCATGGATGTCGAAGCCTCGCCCAAAGTCTTCGTTTGGAAATATATCTACATTGTTACATTGCTACATTCAACATTGTTATCCGAAGACGAATCCAACAATGCGTTCGTGATACACATTGAAACTGCACTGACTGGCATTAAATCATGAATGTTTTGTTTTCTAGGATCCATTTTCAACTATTTGCCTTGCAGCGAAAGATGTTGTGGAAGACAGAAGATAAAAGACAAATCTTGTTCGATTATAAATATTTGTTTTGAGGTCTGACTTGATCAAAGCTTTTTGAATCGATAGCTTCGATAAGAACTAGGTGGTGGCCAAGTTATGCAGTTAATTGTTGATTGCATTAAATTTTTTACTCCATTTTTTCACATTAGATGACGCCACATGAAATTTCCGCAGTTTATTCAATAAATTAAACATATTTGATAAAATTNGACGCCACATGAAATTTCCGCAGTTTATTCAATAAATTAAACATATTTGATAAAATTAAGTGGTGGCCTGGTTTTATATTTTGATGAGCCGTAATCGATTGATTGTCAAATATTTGAATTTGAGTAAAAGGTTGAACTAGAACCTCTGGTCTAGAAGGAATCTGATACAAGCAGTCCTTGCAAACACCAGAACTGCAACACTTTTCACCACATGCGTTTTACCAACCACGTTAGTATTATCAGGGAATGAATAACATATTTTTTATCCTGCTACGCTCAAAACTTGGACTGTGAACTCAATATACAAGAATGTGTCATTCTGATAAACTGGATTTAGTGAAAATAATTCCAAAAATGTATTGAATTTTTACGAAATATGTCATATCGGTACATGGGATGTTTCTTCCACGCTTGAGGCTTTGTTCACGAGATGGAGCTGTTAAACTAGTTAACAATCTTACTCTCAGACGAAGGTTTTATATATGTAGCGAAGCCGTGTTGACATTAATAGACTCCCAGGCACCTTGCTGTCTAGGTAGGATCTTTTCTCTACTTACGAGAGGTAATGCCTCGAAACCACGGTCTGCAAGGGATCTACTNTTTCAAGAAATTCCACATCACTTTCAGCAAGTATAGTACATTTGAAAAGTTACTATGAAATAACAGGATGCTACTGTTGCTTGCACAAAAATTATATGAATATTACTTTAATAGATTGAACTCACTTTCAATCACTATGAATGAATATTAAAAAATGCAGAATACCAATTTGTGAAAGATAATTTATTAACAATCGGTGCTATTAGAACAATTTATTTGCTCATCTATTCATCGTAGTCACTGAAGAAAGTCATTGTCATCATAGCCAACATATTTGCATTTGAACCTTGTGTATGAGTTTTAATCCCATTATAATCCGGTGGAAATTGAATATTTTGGCACAAAACGAATTCATCACATACACTGCAATACGAGTATCCAGTGAAGTATTGATAATTTGATTCAGAACGATAACGTTTTCAAATCCTTCTACAAATAGAAACAGTGTGGATCAAGTGTTGAATGGGACATAAATATGAATCATTGAAAATCTATGTCCACGTTTGTGAAAGCTATGAATGAATGGTTAACAGCCTTCATTATAAAAAAATACGATGTGTAGCGTTTCTTTGAATGATTCTATTACGATGTTCAGAGTAGTAGTGATTGAATAAATCGAAGTGACTTTTGTGTATTTCAATGTGCAAATATTGTTTTTTGATTCCTTTCCCAACAGAAAACATTGGATTATTCGATAAGTGGAAACAAATGCACCCTTCCTGAAATTAGTAATATGGGAAAATAACGACTGAATGTCATCATTGTTACGATCTTCATTCAGGCCAAAGTACGAGTGGCTGGCTTCTTCAAAGGTTTATTCATCTTGATGGTTCATCAATGGCTAGTGACTTCTAGTTCGTAAGTTGTATTTATGTTCACTCAGGTAGCTCGCCTTTCTTGTTGATGCGTTGCTATTGGCCGAAGTGTTATTACCTGTCAATGACGTTACATTGCATTGAACTGTTGCCACCTTAGCATCTTTCAGTATGGGATTCCAAATCCGGTTGAGCGTTATCGCCTCGTCTTTTCGGTTGTAGTTTTCCGTTTGTTTATGGATTTCTATAGATTTCCGTACAAGCCGACTGTGGTATCCATGATCGGGTGCAAGTAGTTTCACATCTTCAAACAGTATCGTATGATTTTATGCCCCGCAGCTAATAGTGGATCTCTTTTGTCTTTCACATATCTCAGGCTTTGTTGTATTTTCCTGGTGGGCTCAAACACTGTTTTTATGTTTAAATATGATCCTGTAGATTAAAAAACAAAATGTTTTGGATAGTTACTGATAATTTGTCAAAGAAAAAGTCAATAAAAGTTTATCCCGACTGAAAGTAGGATTTATTGGGCATTGTCGAGTCTGATAATTATCAAGGAAACAATAATTAGTGACCCCGACGTGACCACGATATGGAGAAACGTAAAACGTACGTCCGAGCGAGAAAGTGCAGGTCTGAATCAAAGTCTGTCATCGGACTACGTATGGCCAAACAGATTTGGAAGTCGTGAGAAACCAGAATCCAATCTAGACAAGCTACCTGAAAAAGTCGTTGAAGATAGATCAGGCGAGTCATCTTCCAAGATACATGAGATTCACTCGAAGCAGCCTGTTCATTCGAGAGCCTCAAGGGATACCGGATCATCTCGACGAAGTAGTTTGGATTTGAAAAAGAAAAGAATAGCTCTAAAAATAAAAAGACAAATACGGGAGCTACTAAGAAAATCTAGAGAGCTGGAACTGGAAGAACTACAACTGGAAGAAAAGAATCGTAGTGAGTTGAAGAAAAAGGAAATAGCTGATAGTTTACACCTTCTTCAACTCGAAGAAGAATTGCATGAAGCCGAAATAGATGCTCAAGAAGAGGACAGCAGTCAAGTTCAATCAGAAGCAGGGAGCGAAAATATCAGGAGAGAATTAGTTCAAGAACAAGAACAAAGCAACAGAGTATCTCAATGGATAGATTACACATCTGAACAATTTCATTATGATAGACAAGAAAATCTGTCACGTATTCTTGAAAAAACTGAGAAACTCACTGATAACATACCCAAGGTCGAAGGAAAATTTCTCGAAGGAAAACCAGAAAATATCACATCTCAAGATTGCAAACGTCCTCAGAACGTTTTCTCTCCCAGCTTCAATAACTCAAAACCCAACGTCACATGAAGTAATTAATCCAGATAAATTTTACATGCGAGAAATATTAGAAAAGGATTTTCCACAGTTTGATGACAGTCCCCAAGATTGGCCCCTTTTCCATAAGTCTTTCAAGAATATTCACAAGTTTTGTGACTACAGCAATGAAGAGATCATGCTGTAGCTACAGATATTCCTAAAAGGGGAAGCAAAGACATCACTTGCAGGAATGATGTTGACTGCCGATAACGTAGACCTTGTTATTGAATCTTTAAAGAAACGGTTCGAAAGACCTGAATACATCATATATGATGAACAGAATCAGTATCTTTCCTTCCATAAGAGAAAATAACTTTGAAAAGCTGATTCATTATTCTGCAGAGGTGAGCAACATGGTTTCGATCATGAAGAGTCTAGGAAGTAAACGTTATCTCGAAACTCTTCAATTTATCCGAGAATTATTGACGAAAATTCCGGATTCAATGAAATTATCCTGTGGTGGAAAGGTGGGAATGAAAAAGGGTGATATCAATAAAGAAGATTTATCTTCGTGGTTGAACGAAAGAGCAAGCTTTCCGTGTTATGTTAGTACCCCACGCAATGAAACATTCTCACAGAAATTCACAAATCAAATGAAGAGAAATGAAAAAGTATGCAATACTCACACCCAAAATACTCACAAAACGTGGTTATTGTGACAAAATACATCAACAAAGCATTTGTCCGCAGATGAATCATGATGACCTGAATAAGAGATGGGAAACGGTAACCGGAAAAAACTATGTTTTAGTTGCCTTCAAAAGAATCATCAAAAATTCAAATGTAAAAAGGGGAAGGTTTGTGGAACAAACGGCTGTAAACTTCATCATCATCCTCTATTACACAAAGAATTAGAAGTCAATAGCAATCAGGCACCGATAGGAAGTGATACTAATGATGATAATCGAGGAAGAGTATGCTCTGTCAACAAACCTTTTAGTTAAATTCTTCTGAAAGTGTTTCGTATAAAATGATACGGTCCACGAGGTGTTGTCCCTATTCTCGCTCTTTGTGATGAGGCGTCTACGGTGACACTATTAGATGCAGAAGTAGCAGAGACACTTGGGCTATCCGGAACGAAGGAATCTCTTTGTCTACAATGGACAAACGAACATGTTATGGTTGGCGAAAATTCCGTTCGTTTAGACGTGACTGTTTTGAAAATTGATGATGACAGCAGAATGTTTACTATGAAAAGTGTCCTAACTGTCACTCATATGTCGTTACCCTAACAAACCATCAACATATCCGACTTTAAAAAGTTATCACATCTAAAAGGTGTTCCAATAAAAGATATCGATCACGAATAACCTTCACTGCTTATTGCACAAGATAACATACATCTGATACTTGCGAGACAGATAAGAACCGGCCCAGAAAATCTTCCTGTAGCCAGTAAATGTAAGTTAGGTTGGGCTGTACACGGACCAAGTCCAAATAGCAGCGAAAACTCTTTCAAAGCCCATACTTTACATATTTGTGAAAAAGAGACGACTGATAAAGAGCTGCAGAAGATGGTAGAAAAATCTTATAAGACTGAAACATTTGGTACTTTGATCGCAGCTGACCAACCATCTCGTGAAAGTTCACGAGCATTAGAAATGATGAGAAACACCTTAAAGTATACCTAAAAAAACTAGGAAATCGGTTTATTATGGAAAACCGATAACATACAGATACCTGAAAGTAAACTCATGGTACTCCAAAGAAGTTTCAATGCTTTGCCTTTTTAATGTGTATGTATTGTGTATGTATTGATGTGTATGTATTAATGTGTATGTATTAATGTGTATGTTTTGTATTATATTCATCTACCTTGATGCTGCTATATCTGTTATATTGATAATAAGCAAATAAATTGATTGATTGATTGATAAAATGTATCGAAAGAAAATGCCGTCTGAACGAAAAATTTGGGAAGGAATATTGCAAGAAAATTATGGAATATGAAGAGAAAGGGTATATAATGAAGTTGAGCTTAGAGGAAAAGAAAATTGACAATCCTCATCTTTGGTATCTTCCTCATTTCGCTGTAGGAAATCCCAACAAGCCGAATAAAATCAGGCTAGTCTTTGATGCCGCAGCAAAATCAAGAGGTATGAGCTTGAATGATGCTCTACTCTTTAGTCCAGATTTGTTGCAGTCATTGGTTGCAATTTTATGGAAATTTCGACAAAGGCGATTCGGTTTTTGTGGAGATATTCGAGAGATAGAGAGTAGGAATACATAGAGTAGGAATACAAGAACGAGATAGATGTGCTCAACGATTCCTTTGGCGAAATTTGGAAAGCGACAGACCGCCTGATATTTATGAAATGTTGGTCATGACTTTTAGAGCAACCTGTTTGCCCGTATGTGCTCAATTCGTAAAAAACTCGAATGCTGAGAAATTTTCTACGAATCCAGACATCCCAACAGCTATTATCAAAAAATTCTATGTTGATGACTACTTGGATTCAGAAGACACTGAAAAAAAAGCACTAAAAACGATAATAGAAGTATGCAAAGTCCAGAAGGTTGCGGTATTCGAAGTAGTCAACTGCATGACAAACTCCCAACTGATTCGAGATAAGCTATCTGATGATATGTTACTGGCGGCTACAAAAAATATCGATGACACTTTCTCACGTCGAATATTAGGCTTATTGTGGGATCCCGGAAACGACGAATTTTCCTTTAGACTGACTTCAGAAAACTTAGTGGCGGAACAATCTACAAAGAGGAAGGTTTTGCGAGCTTTGATATCGGTATACGACCCCCTAGATTCGATATCTACTTTCACGGTGAGAGGTAAGATACTGATGCAAGATATTTGGCGAGTAAGAATCGATTGGGATGATTTGTTACCTGAAGAACTTCTCATTGCTTGGGAAGATTGGTTCAGTGACATGGAGAAAATCGTACAGATCAAAATTCCAAGATGCTATAGTCTATTGATTCCATCAGCATTACGAATCGAAATTCTCACATTTTGTGATAGTAGTGAGAAAGCATTCTCAGCAGCTAGCTTCCTTCGCGTCATTGGAGAATACAGCACTGATGTTTGTCTTATCTCAGCGAAAACGAGAGTTTCTCCTCTGAAACCTCTTTCCATCCCTAGGCTCGAACTCCAGGCGGCAGTGATGGACAGTCGGCTGGCTCATGTAATAAAGAATGAACTCGAGTTCCCCATAGATGAAATGTTTTTATTGGTCCGATTCATCATGTGTCTTGAATTGGATACGAGGAGACGGAAGGAACTACAAACCGTTCGTATCACATCGAATCGGTGGAATTCAAGAATTGACACGTATAGCAGAATGGCGATGGGTCCCAACTGAACTCAATATCGCGGATGAAGCTGAACGCAGAAAAAAAATCGACAGAGTAATTTCAAATGAATGGTTTTCTGGTCCTTATTTTCTCAAAAAACCAGAAGAATCATGACAAATCGAAAATGAAAGACCTTTCTATTTGGAAGTGGAATAGACTGATCAGGACCACCGGATGGTGTTTAAGATTTTTTGGAATTGTAAGGAACAAAGAAAAATTTTCTCCAAACCTAACACTAGAGGAAATCCTGAAAGCTAAGAAGATATGGTTGAAACATGTTCAAGAGGAATGGTTTCCAGAAGAAATACGAAAACTCAAAACATGAAAATCTTTGAGTGGTCAAAGCAAACTAGCCTGTTTATTTCCAGAAATGAAAGATGGAATTATGGTACTGAGTGGACGAACGAATTTTACAGAGTTTATGGCGGAGAGCACACGACAACCCATCATTCTGAGTCCAAAGCATGAATTCACCAAATTGTTGATACAAAATTATCATGAAAAATTTGATTATACAGGAGTAGAATTAGTCATAAATGAAATCAGACAGAAATACTGGGTGATAAACTGTCGAGCTGCAGTCAAATCAGCATTCTCAAGCTGTTTGAAATGTAGGATTGAGAAAAGCAAACCTTCACTACCTCTAATGGGTCAACTATCTGAAGCAGGTAGGAATGGACTATTTTGGTCCAATTATGGTGAAGATTGGTGGGAGATGCGAAAAAAGATGGGTGTGCTATTCACATGCTTTGCAGTTAGAGCTATCCATCTAGAAATTGCACATAGTCTGAGTAGCGATTCTACGATTCAAGCAATACTAAGAATGTCGGCTAGAAGAGGACAACCTCAGGTCATATTCTGCGACAATGGAACAAATCTGAGAGGTGCTGCACACGAAATTGGCCAAGCTATGTAAGAAATAGATCGAAAAACGATAATTGATTCTTTGTCATCAATAGATAGAAATAGGTATTAGCTTCCAATTCATTCCACCGTCTGCTCCCCACATGGGAGGAATATGGGAGAGGTTAATAGGTTCAGTGAAAAGTGTCATCGGCAAAGTACTCTACGACTCATCTCTGAAAGAAGAAACTTCACAAAACTGTTTTGCGGAAGCGGAGAAAATCGTTAATTCCCGACCATTGACAAAAGTTTCGATGGATTCAGCTGACGCGGAAACACTCACTCCGAATCATTTTCTGATTGGCTCTTCCAACGGAGAAGGTGATTTGGTACCAATCAATCCAGATGCGAATACTCTGAGAAGAGATTGGAAAATTTCTCGAATGCTAATAAATTCGTTTTGGACTCGCTGGGCCAGAGAATATCTGCCAACCTTGTCGAAGCGAAGTAAATGGACTAATGACTGCAAACCCATAGCAATCAATGACATGGTCATTGCCTCACAAACACCCTAAATGTGTCAATACCACTAACTTACCAAATGATATGAAACAACAGGTACCGGTTTAAAAATTTATTCCAAACTTGAAACCACTTGTATCTATATGAGGTATAGGTCTAAGCAATCCAGCAAGTAGATTATACACTTTAGACCAGACACAACAAATCATATATATATATATAGTTCAAAGGATATCGTAGATCAATAATTATTTTTCGGGATTGTAAAAGATTATTCTACAAATAGACAAGAACATATAAGCACCAAACAGTAGGTACCAAGGTTAGAAACGATCGGTAAATGAATATGGATTCAGCAAAAAATAAGAGCAGGTATCACAACCTATTAAAAATAACACATCAACCTCAATTTGATGCAGAAATTCAAATGTCGCCAAAAAGTTATAATGCGTCGCAAGAGCTCAAGCGTATGCGCAATTCAAAAATCATAAAAAAAAACATTAAATTTCCGCCTTACAGAAAAAAAACCAAAGCACTAAGATAAAGCAACAGAAAGAAGCAATAACTTGCGTGAATTCCCACGGTGGTTGTAGGTGAGTAAAATGTTCTTGAATTGTAAGTGGACCAATGATAATATCGAAGTCTCCGAGTAGCTTCTTCCTTTCGTGCTGATGACCATGAACCGTTCTGTATGAAGGTGAGACTAACTATTCGATCACCCCGTATCTGGATTGATCTTCGATTACCAAAACATTGAAAACTCTGGGTTGAAGTTCCACACAAAAAAAACCCTTCTGAGTTGGAAGGGTTTTTTTCCCTCTGCAACACGGTTGGCGACAGGAATCGTAGGTTTGACACAAATTTTCCCTTTTTGCTTTCCTTCGATCTCCCAAAAAAACACTGAACAACTACTTTTTCTCTAATTTGGAATCGTTCCGGCAAAAATTCGATGGAATTTCAAGAATGAATTCAGAACTATGAAAATTTTCTAATCCTCAATAAGAGAGTGGAATGCCACAACCAATAATATCATAAGTTCAATATAGGGCATAATCTCCACTAATCTCGGGCCCAGGAATATAATCCTCCAACGGAGTTGTTATCACAAACTTTTTTTATTCCACGAGCCCTTTAAAATTTTCTTCAATGGCTGCCAGCTACGATCTTCGATAATAAGGAATTTTGACCTCGACCAGGAGAAGGAATTGCGTTTCTGCCTATTTTGAAAAAGTCTAGTGATAAGCGCGCATGCCCCTCTGACACTTAAGTAGCCCGTTGGCCAATCCGAGATCGAAAATCGAAAATTCATCATTTCAACTAATTACCAGGTCCAGGTAAATTAGTCCAAAAGAAAACATTCGAAACCATGTTCAATATAAATTAGGAAATGTTTTTAACAAATCAGGGTGTCATATATCCTCAAGTATTATAGGTTAGCTGGAAACTAAGATTTTCTATACTAAGAATTGGTTTCTTCGAATACTTACTGGGTGAGATGATATGGTCGAATTGATAATTTAAGTGTGATTTCAGAATACGGTATTATTTACTCAAAGTTTCAAGGAGAAAACATTTACCGTAAATTCAACCCGTTACAAATTATCAAGGAAACAACACTTCCTTAAGATTTTTCCGATTCTGTCTGCAACCCTAGGGATGTACGCTAGAAATTCACGTGCAACGGTTTGAGTTTCCTCCATATTTTGACTTGTAGAAGTCTTCAGTTTCATGGCCTTGTTGATCTCGATTACACTGCATCCATTCGATCTTGAAGCCAATTGAAGATGCTCCAATTCTTCTTGTTGGTGTTTCGGTTCACAAATTCTACGGACACGTTCTGTCAGGGTGTTGATAATTCCCCGCTTTTGACTCGAATGGTCGTTCGAAACTGCATGTAGATATCTGTCCGTATGTGTCGGTTTTCGGTACACTTTATGTGTCAGTCTTTTGCCACGCCTTTCGACGAGTAGATCTAGAAAAGCTATTCGTTGTTCCTGTTCAGTCTCCATGGTGAACTTGATGCTAGGGTGTTGAGCATTTATGTGGTCTAGAAATAGGTTCAGTCTGTCCCTCTATCAACAAGAAAGGCGGGCTACCTGAGTGAACATAAATACAACTTACGAACTAGAAATCACTAGTCATCGGTGAACCATCAAGATGAATACATTTCTGAAGAAACCAGCCACTCGTGCTGGCGAAACGTTAGGATACAGTTCCAAAACACGACGGCCTTCGAACCCGAATGAAGATCGTAACTTAGGCGAAAGCCTAAGTCAATTTATCAGACTGCATATCTGTTATCAAATGAATCAAGACCAGAACAAGAATGTGCATTTATTAAAAAAATAATGTATTTCTAGCATATTTTTCGAATTAGCTGAAAAATATAAGTCATCCTCAATGTGTACACAATATTATTCAATGTTAAGAAGTGCAGTTTTCATCAAACATAACATTAATATAAAACGCTACTCAAAATTATGTGCATTATTGATACACAAATCTGATGGTATTCCTGATGAATAATAGTTTAAAAAAACTTAAAAACACGCTTCAATAGCAACACAAACTGGAAAATTGAAAATAATTTGAAACTGATTTAAGATTGTGTAAAAAATCGATAATAAAATAAGTCCGATGGCTTGATGTAACTAATGACTTTCATAAGTCTCAAATCAGAATGAATATATTTACAAAAAATAATTGTTATAAGAAATAATGCCATGTGTATAGTTATACTATTTTTTCACTTTTTCAAGTATAATTTTTATGATATTATTATGACAATGTTCAATATACTTGAAATTTCCATCTCATTTTGTTTGTACTTTCAGGCAGGTAAATATAATTTAGGTGATTACGTGTGATCACGTTTGAAACTGAATTAGTAGCACAAAGATCATATGAATATATTCGACTGTCCATCAGACGAAATTAAAACCTACAACCATCAAATTATAAACAGTCCCAAAAATATCTATGATATTATCGATGAAATGTAGAGTAATTATGATTTATTTTAGTTAATTATTCATTACTAATACGTATAGGTACTGAATACTATGTGAAAAGGAAAGTATACAATATTCATCATTAGGATTTATATATCACTATTAGTATTTAGCATAATGTTCTATTTAACTTCAAATTACTGTCATGAAAAATCAAGTTATTTCAAAAAAGCATTGAATGAAAAATGTACCAGACAGTGATTTTTCTATGGAATCTGGAAGTTTGGGATCTGAATATGAAATCATTGCAATCGATGCAATGTGAATGCCGAATGCATACACACTAATTTGCAAGAATTGCACATATAATTAATACACAAATCACATTGTAAGTACCAACATTTACCACTTCATTTTATAAAATTTCTTCATAGAGCGAAAATATTATGAAAGTGGAAAAATTTGAATTGGCTGGAATCCTCCTGTAGAATCATCGCCAAATATGAATTTAATCATTGACATTACGAGAGCATATAAATAGGAAAATTGTTGACCTTGAGCACGTGCGTTTCATTGCATTCGAAATCATTAGTTGTAGTTTTCATAAAAGTCGTTTAGTTTCAACTGCTGGATATAAAAGTGATGATGTCTAATCACGATCGTGTGAGTTCTTGGATCACAGAAGCGTTGCAGAATGAAGATGTTATCGATTACAAAATTAACATAAAGGGAACTACTGGAAAAAGTCAAGGATATGTTGGAGATATCATTTTTGCTGATGTATGTGGAATTGACTGTAAGAAGCAGAAGAAAGATTTACATCTAGTGATCAAGCAGGGAAAAACAAACAAGAAACTGAGGGAAACATTTCCGATAAAAACTTATTTTGAAAGAGAGATGTTCGTATACAACGAAATTTTGCCACTGTTTACCAGAATACAAAAGGAGAAAAAAATCAGTGACCCTTTCAATTCCTTTCCGAAATGTTTTAAAACTATGATATTTGAAGATACCGAAGTGATAATTCTAGAAAATGGTAAACCTATGGGGTATGAATTGCTTAGTTCAAAATCTATGAATTTAGACCATATGAAATTTATTTTGAAGCAATTCTCCAAGTATCACGCTTTGTCATTTGCATTGCGTGACCAAAATGAAAATCAATTCGATAAATTAACCTCACATTTCAACTCAACCTTCAAGCTCATAATGGCAGATGCAAGTTTCATAAATACATTCAGAAAAGGTGTTCAAAAAGTGACTCGTTTCTTGAGAGAAAGGAATGAAAGTGATGTATCAGACAAGCTTGAGAAGAAATTGAATAACAAAGATCCTTGCCAAATTATGGACGAAGTTTTGAACAGCGAAACGAAGGAGTCAGTAATATTACATGGAGATAACTGGATAAATAATTTCATTTTCAGATATAAGGTAAATTTTGAAAATTAGCTAGGTATATCTGCATAAACTGAAACATTGTATACCATTTTTTTAGTTGTTTCAGGGATTTCAAATTATTTTATATAGTAGACAATGGAAGTCCGAACTATAGTGAAATTCAGTTTAAAAACTATGTTTATTTGGGAACGCAGCAGGCGTGAAAGTGTACTCCTATGACACTTAATTCCAATCAATCATATTCATCCATAAGAGTACACTTTCACGCTTGCTGCGTTCCCAAACAATTACAATTCCTCTATCTAACTGATCAGCCAAGGCTACCCTTCTAATATATATTGTATAGTCCGAAGAGGTGCATATGTTCAGGTGAAAAACACCTCACTCATTGCTTCTCATGTGGACATATGTGGACCTATGGTCCAGCACTCGTCAGTGCCGGGCAGGTCACTTCAGACGAGGTGAACCGTCTGAGTATTCCAAACAAACAAAATCAATTCCAACTAGTTACAAAGTCCATCTGCAGTTGATTCAGTAGGATGTCAACTGCGCCACCTGCAGACAAATCCAGAAAACAACTTCACAAACACATACTCAGGGGTGTGAGTCAAAATGATGACAATATTCCGGAGAGATGCATATGACATGCCCACTTTCGGGTAAAAAAAACTACACCCCTTGCCTCTCATGTAACCTATGACCTATGACTTTCACTGAAGTGAAACCATCAGTTACCTGTGCAACGTCTTCCATTTGGAAGATTCGTCGAAAGTTACTTCCTGCATGTGGAAAGCAGAAATTAATTCCACTTGGTCGGTACGACCAACCAATAGACCGATTTGGAGGTACTTGCTCCTCGTCAGTACCGGGTAGTGACGGAGTGAACTGTTTGAGTATCCTAAACAAACAAAATCAATTCCCAACTAGTCACAAAGTATATCTGCAGTTGATTCAGTAGGACATCAACTGAGCAACCTGCAGACAAAGCCAGAAAACAACTTCACAAACACATACTCAGGGGTGTGAGTCAGAATGATGACAATATTCCGGAGAGGTGCATATGACATGCCCAAGTTCGGGTGAAAAACACTACACCCCTTGCCTCTGATGTGGCCTTTGACTTTGTAGGTACGTGTGGCAGATACCTGGCGGAAAAGCAACAGCTAACCCAGCTAATGCCACACAGAGCGCTGGGGTGGAATCATCAGTCACCTGTGCAACGTCTTCCATTTGAATATATTAGAATAGAATAGAATAGAATTTATTTCACTGCGTTACATACATAAATGTTTGTAGCAAGTCAATACAATCAATTGAATTCAAACGCCGGGGCAATAGAATATAAGTAATGTATAAATAAAAACATATAGATTATAAAAGTTCGATAATGTTACTTAGTTGTCAAAGTAATCAAGTCATGGAAGATTCACGTAAGTGTTTCAGATATTCATCTACAGAGTAG